TACACCAAATACAAACTAGGCGGATATGACCTCATTGATGACCCCCACTGTCAAGGACTTAGGAGTACTCATATCTAATGATGTAAGCGCCAGAGCTCACTGTAACAGCATTGCCAAAAAGGCATTAAGAGTTGTAAATCTAATCTTACAAAGCTTCTCCTCTGGAACAATTGAATTGCTAACTAGGGCATACACAACTTTGGCTAGACCAATACTCGAATACAGCTCATCTGTCTAGAATCCGCACTGTATATTGGACATTAATACAATTGAGCGAGTCCAGAAGTATTTCATGAGAAGAGTACTACACTCCTCTGCTCGCAACAGAATACCCTATATTGCCAGACTTAAAATTTTGGGCTTGGACAATCTTGAACTACGCCGCCTACGGTTGGACTTAAGAGTAGTAAAAAAAATTATCTGCTACAATTTCCTACCGGTCAATGACTACTTCAGCTTCAACCACAACAACACAAGAGCACACAACAGATACAAACTCAATGTTAACCACTCCAAACTTGATTGCAGAAAGTACAACTTCAGCAACAGAGTGGTCAATGCCTGGAATGCACTACCTGACTCTGTAGTTACATCCTCAAACTCCCACTCCTTTAACCTCAAACTATCCACTATTGACCTCACCCCATTCCTAAAAGGTCTGTAAGGGGCATGCATAAGTGCACCATCGTGCCTCCCATCCCTGTCCTAATGTCCCCATTTAATTGTACCTATTTTCTGTATTCTTACTCATGTTTATACTTATACCTATTATCTCGTAAGCAGCTGACAAATCAAATCAAATCAAATAAATAAATAAAATAAAATAAAAATAAAGGAGGACAATTATAAGAAATTACTTCAACAGATAAAGAAGGACCTGACAAATTGGGGAAAACTGCACCTATCTTTATTAGAGGGGATAGCAGCGATAAAGATGAATATTCTACCAAAATTATACTATTTTCAGACAATTCCTATAAAATTGGATAAGAGATTTTTTCAGGAGCTAAACAAGATAGTTATGAAATTTATATGGTTGGGTAAAAAAGCACAAATAAACCTAAAAATGCTACAAGATAGTAGAAGTAGAGGCGGACTTGGACTCCCAAAATAGGAACTGTATTACCAAGCAGCAGTACTATTATGGGTGAAGGAGTGGATAAATTTGAAAAATAAAAGAATTTTGTTAATTGAGGGCCATGACCTCCAAACAGGGTGGCATGCTTTCCTATGGGACAAAACAAAACAAAAAAAAAAAAAAAAACAAGACACATTCATATTTCCATAGACATTTGATAAGTGAATCATTGCAAACCTGGGAAAAAGTTAAAAAAAACATTATATGAAGATACCAAAATGGGTCTCCCAATGGAAGCAATATTATACCCAAATATGAGGGATACAAGGAAAATGGTCAGATATGAAGAATTATTAGATATTCAGGGGAATTTAAAAACAATTGATAAATTAAAAGAACAAGATATAATTATAGATTGGTGGTCATACTTACAAATTCAGACAAAATTTAGGAAAATTTAAAAGAACAAGGGATAGAAAAGGACTTACAACTGGACCAAATTTTGACAGGCAAGGAGATAAAATTTATAACAAGAATGTATAACTATTTGTTGGAAGTGGAATTAGAAGAGGAAATAGTAAAGGGATCAATAATTGCCTGGGCAAAAAATATAGGGCATAATATAAATTTAGAGGATTGGGGAAAAATGTGGACGGATAACTGGAAATTGACATTGTCAACAGCATTTAAAGAAAATCAATATAAAATGTTTTGTAGATGGCAACCTAGCCAGAGCAAGACTGGCCAAAATGTATCCAAACACCAAAGCAGAATCTTGGAAGTGTAAATATAAAGAAGGAACGTTCTTCCATATGTGGTGGCAGTGTCCAGAGGTTAAAAATATTGAATGAGGGTACAAAGATGGATATTAAAAATTACAGATCACAAATACACAAACTCGAACCGGAAATATTCTTATTAGGAATAATTAAGGGAAATTTGAGCAAGGTCATCATTATACATATCATAACTGGGGCAAGAATAGCCTCCGCACAGGGATGGAAGAAAGAAAAGATACCATCTGAAGAAGATTTGACACAAAAAATAATGCATTGTGCGGAACTGGATAAAATCACAATGGAATTAAGAGGCAAAGATGATTCGGACTATTACACGGTTTGGGATAGGCGATACAAATGGATGGAGGATAGAAATAAGATTTGATTTTTATGTATAAAAGGAGATGTATTTATTAGCAAGACATGAACACTGTTAATGTGAATAGAGATTTGTATTTTTGTTTTTTTAAATAAAATATTTTCAAAAAAATTCAGACAGTGAACACACTAGTCAGTTTAAAAAGAGGCAAAAATCAAGCAATTAACATGTAAAGAGAGAGGAGTCTGATTAGTTTTCAAAAAAAATCAAAAGATCAAAAGAAGAAACTATTGATAGTATTGAATGGATAACTTTTCATGTTGTAAAAATATATATGTTAAAATTTGAGTTTTGCTCCTTATTTACTATTTGACACAGTGAATGATTTTATTTTGCTTTACGTTATTGTTGTTACTTTCAGTTTTCAGCATTAGGAGTTATAGGCAGGCAAAACAATAAAGAGAAACAAATAAAGAATAAACATTAAAAACATATTCAAGAAAGTTTAATCAATGTTATTTATCGTTGTTTAAATAAATTACTTTTCCATTTTATATAACTATACTTTCATAAGCAAACCAAGTTACATATACAGGTAGACCTTGATTTACAAATATTTAACCACAAGTTCAAAGCTACAAGGGCCTCAGAAAAAGACTTATGACCCTTCCTCAATTTATGACCATCACACTACCTCCTCCCCTTAGTTACATGACTGCAATTTGGGTATTTGGCAACTGACTCACATTTAAAACAGTCACATGATCATGATTTGTCAGCTTCCAATAAGCAGAGTCAATTGGTAAAACTGGATTTATTTAATGACCATGTGAAATGGTCATAAAATCAGGTCTGGTGACATAATTCAATGGCACCCTGAGCAATTGAAATTCTGGCCCCAATTGTGGTCATAAGTCAAGGACTATCTGTAATTTAGTATTTAAGGACTATCTGTATTTAAGTATCTGTAATAAAAAATATGATATAATAAAAGTGGGTCTCTACATTTGAAAAATTATATAATCCCACCCCTTTAATAGCCTGGTCATTTCAATCCTATTGAGCAAATTTTTCCTTTAGCAAGTGCTTTTCTTTAGCTTTAGTATTTTTCTTATCACATGTCCTCTGGTGGCATACTATCATTTTTCCAATTCTGTGCATAAGTTATTCTTGCTGCCGTTAATAAATGTAGCCTTAAATACTCTGTTTTCTTATCATATTTTCCCGTTATTATACCTAATAGCAAAGTCTCCGATCTTAATTCAATTTGTTTAATTATTTCTTCTATCCATTTTTTTTGTCATCCAATATTTTTTCACTACAGGGCATGTCCACCATGCATGGTAATATGTTCCTTGCTTTTGTTTGCATTTCCAATGTTCGGATGGTCTGTTTGGGAACATTTTTGCTAATCTAACAGTGCCACTGTAGAACATTTTGTACAAATTTTCTCTATATGATGCAGACATCATCAATTTATAATTCTTTTCTCACATTTTTCCCATTTCTCCAATTCTATCATATAGCCAAAAAATTTCGCCCAATCATTGTTTAACCCTCTCCACTTCCATCTTATAATCCAACAAATAATTATATAATTTTTTAATCAATTTCTCCTCTGGACCTTGTAGAATCTTATCTAATTGCGATAATTCTCTATGTATCCCATATATTTCTGTATCTTTCTTGAATCTTGCTTATATTTGCATATGCATCCATCACTCTACCTCAATTCCTTGCTCTTTTAATTCTTCTTTCATTTTTAATATCCTTTGCTCGTTTAAGATGTCCTTATACCTTACTGTCTTATTAAGATTTAATGCATTTGGATATATTGAGGCTTCCATAATTGATAACCAGATCGGAATTTTGTCATTATGATTTCTTTTAATCTTTTCCCAAATCTATAGCAAGGCATTTCTTATTTGGTATCTTTGGAAATAACTATGCATCTTGTTTTTCCCTTCCCATAAAAATGCATGCCACCCTAATTTTAAGTCATGTCCTTCAATTGTCAATATTCTTTTATTTTTCAACATTACCCAATGTTTGATCCACGTAACAGCTGCTGCTGTATAATATAAGAATGGTACAAGCAAAATGGCAAAAGTAATAATAAATGGAGAGTTAACTGAACAATTTCAAATATTGAAGGGAGTAAAGCAAGGATGTCCGCTATCACCATTGTTGTTTATCCTGACTTTGGAAGTGTTACTTGGACAGATTAGAGGGGAACAAAAAATAAAAAGTCTCAAAATTTTAAAAAGAGGAATATAAAGTCCAAACTTTTGCGGATGATTTGGTATTTGTGCTTGAGGAACAGTTAGAATCGGGAAATATAAGAATTTGAAAAAGTGGCAGGTCTTAAAATAAATAAAAATAAGACAAAGATCATAACAAAAAAATCTTACTAAGAAACAGAACAAAGAATTGGAAGAAAAATTGGAAATGCACATTGTTTAAAAAGTTAAACATTTAGGAAGTATATTTATTTAAAAAAGATAATTATACAAAATTGTAAACAAAAATTAAGACAGATTTGGATAATTGGAAGAATTTACAACTCTCACATAATTATAGGACAAATTGCCACAATAAAAATGAACATATAGCCAAAAATTTTGTTTTTGTTCCAAGTGACCCCAATAAAGTTAGGAAAGATATTTTTTGAAGAGTTAAACAAATTAATATCAAAGTTTATTTGGCTGGGAAAAATATAGTGAATAAAGTTAAAATTGTTACAGGATAGCAGAAAGAGAGGGGGGTTTGCTCTGTCAGATTGGGAACTATATTATACAGCAGATCCCATGTAATTATTACTAACCTTAGAAAAATAACCTATTAGGTGGCATCCTGTGTTATCAGCTTCTGTCATGACATAGAAAAGAAATGGTTCAACATCATAATACAAAGTCTTATGGTCCAAGAATAGTTTTGCCAGGAGGCACAAGTTTTGGCAATATATCTGAAAAAAATCAGAAAGAGAATTAAGATATTATTGATTAGCAGGTCATCTACCCTCCCAGTACTTATCACAAGATAGTGATAAGTGCATAGAAACTGAACAAAAAAATCTATAGATAGCTAATAGGCAGAGCTTTCTTGGTATTCAGATGCCAGATAATCAGAGTTGGAAGGGACCTCTAGTCCAACCCCCTGCCCAAGCGGGAGACCCTAAACCATTTCTGACAGATGGCAGTCCAATCTCTTCTTGAAAGCCTCAAGTGATGGCGCTCCCACAACTTCTGAGGGCAAGCTGTTCCATTGGTTGATTGTTCTCACTGTCAGAAAGTTTCTCCTTATTTTCCAGGTTAAATCTCTCCTTGTTCAGTTTCCACCCATTATTCCTTGTCTGGCCTTCGGGTGCTCTATTCCAAAGATTGTTGCAGACCAAACAACGGTGAGCCAAAATCTCCCCCCTTTAGCTTTGAAGCAATAAACAAAAACATGAATCCATATCTGCAATGAATTGGTACAATCCAGGACTGCCATCACCTTATCTACATATCTCTGCTTCAAACCTTTATAAGCAGTAGCATGGAGTGACTATGGAAATTCTCAGTCATCCATGCCATGGTTTTCCCAAAAGTGCTTTTTCAAGGGGCAACTGGATTTTGTTTTTCTTTGAGGATGTTTCACTTCTCATCCAAGAAGCTTCTTCAGCTCTGAATGGATGGCAGGGAATGGAAGAATTTATATTTCTTGCAGACAACTGACTGATCATTTGGAAGAGGGGTCAAAGAGGACATTTATGTCAAAATTGAACAGCCCTCTCTCAACAGAGGGAGAGAGATATGACATCATCTATCTCCAGTCTACAACACAGTCCTTTCAACAGTTCCAAGAAGACTCCACACACCCATCTGCACTACTCAAAGGACCTGATGACACAGATAAGCCTCCAGGTGGCCTTAATAACCCGCAAAAAGAATGCAAATAGTATATCTGCAAGGCATATAATTCAATTCTCCACCATCCAGTCAGAGCTGAAGAAGCTTCTTGGATGACAAGCGAAATGTCTTCGAAGAAAAGCAACAGATTTCAGTTGCCTCTTAAAAAAAAGCACCTTTGGGACTAGCATGAAGTGAGATGTTTCAGGATGATAAGCAACATTCATGAAAAATTTCTAGCAAAACCACCTACAAATTGATTACAAAATGCACAAGCTCTCTCCCTTCCCAAAATCCACTCCATTAACACAGTTACCTTGTTCTTTTTCCCATCTACTTCAAATACTGAGATTGAACCTTTGCGATAAATTTCATCCCCTGGAGGATGTTTCCAGACACATTTTGCCTATGGACAGTGATAAACAATCATTACTGTCATAATTAGTTTTCAAATATACCACTGAACAGGAAAAATAATTGCTTTGGATTCAGAAGCAATGAGGCCTACTCTATTCAGAAAAAAAAAATGAACATGGCATTTGATATAGGCTACTGGCTAATGAGCTCTGATTAAGAATAGGTAAACTATTTAAAAGTATTTCATCATATGAAATCAATTAAAAGGATGCATAGTTACATCTACATAAATGATAGTACATTACATGTAATAAAATAAAATAAAATAAATATCTCTAATACCGATAGTAAATTCAAACCTTTCACTAGATAACAATCGAGCCTTTTTCAGGTTCTGTTCATTCTACTGAAGGCTTTTAATTTATATTACATGGATCTTTTGAACAAAAGTGTTTCCTCCCTTCCTTTTAATCAGACAAAACAGGTCTGCTAAAGTTTTTCCACAATAAAATTCATTTTAATATGAGCAGATCATTCTAACAATGTTCATATATACATTTACAGGCAGAGAATACTCACTGTGTTCAACAAGAAATAACTTATATGAATTACTATGCTTGGCTCAGAATGGGCAGAATTTGAAAAAGAAAATTACAGAGATCTCTAATAATTGGATTCTAATAATTAATCTTGAAAGACCAAGTTAGAGACAGATTGTCATGGAGAAAATCTACGTGTCGACACCAACTTCATTGCACATAATCAATGACTGCATCTGAATTTAAGATGATCGTAAACGAATAGTGCATCTAAGCCTGTATAACTCAACAAGTGATTTGGCCTCCCTCCCCTTTGTCATAAACATTGCAGGTTCTATCCCAGCTATGACTGACAGGCAAAAGTAACCATTGTCACACATACTGGAAGTTGAATGTGAAGCTGTTTGAAAGGAGAAAGGTGTTCTTCTCTAAAGCAGTAACGTAGTCAAAAATAAGCACTGGAAAAAAGAAGCTGAAGACCCAAACTAGATTTTCTGCTGCTGGAGATGATTACTCAAGATGAGGTCATGGCAGCAGAACTGATTTCTCTGTAGCGTTTCCCATCATTTCTCAGAAAATTCACAAACTGCATCTTTTACAAGATTACATTTCCAAAGCAATAAAAGGCCTTACCATATGCAAAATTATGTTTACACATAGAAAATATAGATTTAGAAGAAATATATAACAAAACATGATTAAAATAACATCTTCCTGAAATTAGAGCATATCACCAGAGCAAAAAATAGCTGTAAATGCAAGAGGTTAAAGCTACCAGGTTTGAATTGCCAGGTCATCAAAGTTGCTGTTGTTTGTTTCAAGTTTAAAAATAATTTAATGTACCTTAATATACATATTTGCATTACACATTAGTACAAATAAAACAATATAAAAAGTATTAATGATTTTTTAAAATATGTTATTTTTAATATTGTTTTAATCTGGGCTGTCCATGTGCTTTTTTATTTTACCTGTTTTTTAGATTTTTTAAATTTTATTTTGTATACTGTCTAGACTGTTTTGGAGATTGGCTGACTGCCTCTAACAAATTTGAATGAAGAAATTATTTTCCATTGTACACCTCGAAGTTAAAAACTTACCATGTGTCTACGAAGTATTGTCTGACTCTTCATATACTTGAGGCAGAATTCACACATATAGAGTCGCCCAAGCCGGGCATACTCCTCTGGGTAGGGAGAATGGTACCAGGTGTCCAGTTCATAGCGGCCAAAAGCAATAGTTTTGATCATGTTACTACCTTCAGTGATTTGGCCCTGAAGTCGCAGCTTTTCCTATTCACAGAAATAATGACTCATTTATTGAAGAGAAAAATGGAGAAAATGATTTAAGCCATTATAAAAAATCTTATAATTATTGCTAGAAAAAAAATTTTTTTTTTTGCTGTTCACATTGAATCAAACCTCAGAAAAACCGTAGTAAGATTCTTTATAAGTCAATAAAAATGATAAAATGCCAAGCAGCACAAAATCAAGGCTGACTGGCAAAAATGTTATTTAGATAGGCCAAACATTTATTATAGCCATCAAGTGAGAAACATTCATTTCTATATGAAGTGATTCATTGATTCACTCATCTGCTCTTAATGGTTTTTTTTACTGCATTGAAATTAGCTATAACCCTATAAATTAAATTATACTTTTTTAAATAGCCAAAGAGATAAGTAATGAAATACCCTGAGAGCAAATATTAAGTTATTTAATTACATTCAATGTAATAAAATTGAAATACATTCTAAATTATTTTGATCCTGTACTTATCTATTTTTGGTGTGTACCCCCAATATATACTAGGTCAAGACCAATCTTTACTCTTCAAAACATTGTGAGTTCAGCTATGAAGTGTGCAATCAACCTTTTAGCTTTGCTTCCTCCCATCAGCTTGGTTTGGTTCTATCCATTTATACATATTTGCATACATTGCAGTGAATCAAGTACAACTGGCTTATTACTTCACAGCTGGGACATGAAATGGAATGAGCTCAGCTCTACTTACTAGATCTTCAGAAGCTCTTGCTTGTGCTCTTCGGAATAGTTCTAGGTCATACTCACTGGTCAGATTCTCTAAAAGGGGCTCTCTTGTGTTACCATAGGTTTGTCTGTGCTCCTGAAGTAACAACAGAAGAAATATCTCATAAAAACCCAAAGAAAAAAATGACTCCTCTGTTTAGGGAAGCAATTCCTGATAACCACCTCCTATTTGTTTCAGGGGTGGGCATGGATGGATAAAGAGTCGAAGAAAAAGTCTAAAAATTTATTTCCAGTGATATCACTATATTCCAGATTACTTTTAGAGAACTGAAAGGCTTTTATGAAAAACATTTAATGTCGAAGAGAAAATTCAGCTGCTTGGATAATGGGAAAAAATACAAAGAATGTTGACATGGTTAGTGGGGAAAAAAGACTATTACAACCCCACTCACTTCTTTTCCTGTGTTATAGAAAGACATGCTGTAATCGCAAAGCTCATAACACAGTTCAATGTTCACTAGATCACTATTATCCATATCAGCTACTGCTATCCATCTCAGAGCTTGTTTCAAACAAAGTAATTCTTCTTTGCAAATCCATGGCATGAAAAGTATTGATTCAGATGCCATTTGTTTTAACTTTCATTTTTCTGATTTAATATACACTGGTTACGCACAGTAAAACCACATTTAGAGAGACCAAATACAAAGGATGTCTTGACACTTGGCTTATTCTCTAAGGAAAATAAATGAGGTTTCTATACCATGCATTTTTCCTTTTGCTCCTTAGTTAAGCTTGCATTCCTCTTCTTTCTCATCTCTGCAACCTTCTCCTTATATCTCAATTGTCTTTCAGTTGGTGCCTTGTAGGGAGTAGGAAATAAAATATTTGATTGGGAGACAGACAAACACAGACAGATGACTATCTGGCTTTGCCAATATTCCACGGGTTCTCGAGTATTTCATGAATTTGTTTTCTGTATCCCCCCCTCTAGTTTAGAATCAGACAGCTTTTTATAATGCATAACTGCATCAAACATGAGATGAAAAGATTATTCAAATCAGCATAGCTGTTGTATGTGCAATGTGGTAATTCTTCAGTAATAAACATACACAAAAATTTCCTCCTTTCCCTTTTTGAGCAAAAAACATAAAACAATGTGTACATAAGTGAACAAAATAGATTTATGAGCTATGGTAGTGCAGTGGCTAGAGTGCAGTACCGCAGACTACTTCTGTTGACTGCCAGCTGCTAGCAATTTGGCAGTTCGAATCTCACTAGGCTCAAGGCTGACTTAGTCTTCCTTCCGAGGTGGGTAAAATGAGGATCCAGACTGTTGGGGGCAATATGCTGACTCTTTAAACCACTTAGAGAGCGCTGTAAAAGCATTGTGAAACAGTATATAAGTCTAAGTGCTATTGCTATTTTTAAAAAACTGAGTAATTGGAATAAGTCCCCAGTGAAGTTCTTTAAGCCAGCACAGACTTGAACAATACATACAAAATTAGTAGAAATTACCTGATGCCTGGTAGCATGTCTATTGTTGTCATCCTGTCGATGAGAAAGCATCCGGTCTTCCACTTGTTTGTCTCGGCTTTGAGCTCTCACCTTGAAACCCAGAGAAATATTACATATAAATCTCCTTCCTACATCGTGTAATTTAAAGGAATAATATGAATCTGCCACAGTATGGATTTTGAACTTAGAAATTGCTGAAACTGTTTTCATGGAACCACCAAGCCTCAAGCCATGGTTAAAATAACTCATATCTTGGTACAATGTAAAAAACAGACTATCTTCCGGTAGCTGCAATGTGCAAAGATGTGTTAAAGCATATGAATTCTTGCTCGGTTCCTGTTACAATTATTGCTTTCCACTTGCTTTTCTTCATTACACACATCCTGAGAATAAGTTACCTTGCATTCATCAGCTGAAAGATTATGATATAGAGGACATCCAGATATAGAAAAGTGTCGCTCATGTTTTCCGGTCAGGTGTCCTGTTGAAAGCCAAAGAAGTATAGTTTATGGCTTACCAAAAGAATATACGTTTGGACAACAGAAAATTCTAATAATTAAAAGTCAGATCAGAAATTATTCCACTGTACCTAATGAATTGCAGCCAGGGGTGGGACATTTCATGTTAAAATTATAGCTTTCGTGGAAACGTCGTCTTTTGGGACGATGAGATAAATCACTCCCTGAATCTTTCATGGACATATCCTTGGCAATACTTTCATCGTGTGACATGTTGGGACTAGAGATATCAATATCAGATTCTGAAGAAGGAGCATTCCCAGTTGGAGTGCGGGGTGGAGACTCATCATGGTCAGCTGCATTTTTTGTGTCTGTTGAGAAGGGAAAAAATTAGGACAATGTTGCCAAATTAGAAAACGTACAAAGAATGCTTCCTGGGTCATTTCTGTGTGTTAGCACTACACAAAAAATGGAACAGTGTCAGAGAAATATTGTTTCCTTCCTAGTAAATGACTGAGGATAATCTGGAGACAAACAAGAAAATCAGTCAACCAAAATTGTGATAATCAAGACTAGCTTAAAACACTGATGGGGTTTTTTTTTTGTCACTATCCCTTTCACACATGTGAGATCAGGCAATACCTAGGATGTTAAACAGTCTTAGCAAAGATATTGTTTTTTAATCTAGTATGTTACTAGAGAAGCATTCTACAAAGGAAGTTGACCAAATACTAGTCTAAGAATCAATTCTCCATCTTCCCATATGACAACATTTATTAGGGGCACCCTCCACAACAATTCACATATACAAACCTCTATCAGAAAAATCAACCACTTGCTCTGTTTCAGAACCAGATGAACGTGTTTGTCGCAGAGGATATTTCTTTGGAGTTACAGGAGTAGGCTGCTGTTGACTGCGGGTTATTCTTCGAGTAGAATAAACAGGGTCTTCTACTGCAAATGATGGTGGATTGCGAACTGGGCTGGAATCTATGGATTGAAAGGGATTGTTAAAGAAAAAATGTAGCATCTCGCTTTAGGAAACATCACAGCAGAGCCTATATTACGTGTCAACCAAGTTCATTGTGGTTCTTATCTAGTAGACAAAAATGGCTATTTCATTTAGAAACTATAAAATGGGCAAGTTTTATACATTCTTCAGCTAATGATATCTACTTCCTTGCATTACTGCATGTATAAATGAAATTTAAAGGAAAGTGTAAATCACAAACAGTTCATAATATAAATCTTCAGTTCGTAATGGTATTGGAATACAGGAACCTGGAATATAAACAAAATAGTTCTTTATTGTGCTATATTAGTTTGCCTAAATACTTATCTAAATCTATATCCTTCCTACATAACATATACACACATGCGTACACACACACGTGTGTTAATTGTTTTAATAACCTGGATTTTCCTTTCCTGAAATGTTGATAACCAACATTAGGTTTAAATAATGATCAAAGATGGTGCTAAAGATGGTATGATTCAGAGAATATTCTATTATATACTAGGTTTTTTTGGATTTTCCAAAGGAACAGAGTTTGAAACAATTCATATATACATTGCCACAGGATAAGTGAGAGCAAAACTAGAAGATGGTTCACCATAATCTCACCTTTATGTTCATGAAGAATAAGTGGAGATTCATTGACATATGATACAACTTACATTTAGACAAAGTTTAGGAGAAAACATCTAATCATTTCAAGCATCTTCTTTCAAAGCAAAAATTTAAGACCCAAGATGAAGAATTTTAAAAGATCTAGATATACCTTGAGAACTCTGGCTGAGCCTAGCAGAAGATCGTGTCACACGGGCAGACTGGCGTAATGTACCATCACTTTCTGAACTGTCTGTATGCTCTGGATCTGTAGAGAAATCCGAGTCTTCTGTTCCATCTGAACTGCTTCCTGCATTTCTCTGAAAAGCCAACATTTAGTTTTTAATTGGGAAGCACCCAGATTTGGTTGAAAGTTGAATAGCCATATACGTGTTTTAAAGAAGTAAATAAAGAGCACATAAGACAAATACTTTAATGCAGATATGTTCCTCAATTTTATTGGGGTGATAATTCTGATTATCCCCCCAATAAAATTCCTGCAGTGTTCTCGGCACGGTTTTTTATAAATTGTTTGCCACTGGCTCCTTTCTAGGGTTGAGAGAGAGAGGCTGGTTCAGGGTCACTCAGTTGATGTGGTGCCTAAAGTGGGATCAGAATTCCCAGTCTCCTGGTTTGGAGTCTGATGCCTTAAATACTATATCAAATGGGGACTTCTTCAAAAATTAGTACGCACTGTTAAATTTAGAATATTGCTCATGTTCCTAAGAGTCTTTTAGTTCTGACTAAAACCTAGGTGAATTTCAAAATTCTCTCTTTGTATCCAATATCCATTTAATTATGAAAGACTATAGTGATATATCATAAAGTCAATTTGCCATAGATATCACATATGAAATTTAGTTCCTCCTAATTTAGATTGGCAGGTCATGCAAGCCATTTCTTACATTAAGGGAAAAATCAATATACTTTTTTTTAAACTAACAAGCTCATGATTTTAAAAAAATCACCCAGGTTCTTACAATGAAATCACAGTAAAAACATGGAATTAATGGGAAAATGGCAACTATCAAAACTAGTGGCCCCAAACCTTTATTTATTTTACTATTTGATAGACTTTTAAATCCTGCCTTGATTATAAATGACTCAGGGCAGAGAACATACCTAAAATTAATTCCTCCTCTCGTATTTTCTCCACAACAACATTAGTTTATTATAAGTTCTGAGACAGGTGCCTAGTATCATATAATGTATTAAAAAAACTAAATGAAAATAACACAGGTCAAGGTTCTATATAATCATTGAAAACACCAATCACAAACACCCTAGCCTAGCTGTTCCCATCACTGACATCCTGACCCCAATGTCTGGGGGAAGACAGATCTTCTTGGATTTTCAAAAGACTAATAGAGTTGAGGCCGTCCAAATCTTATGGTGCTAGAGGTATATGTGAAGCTGTTCTACTTGTTAGGCACCATGACAGAAAAGGCATGCTTCCTGAGATTTATCAGGAAGATACTCTGAAGGTACCAGGAGTATGCCCATTCTGTCACATCTGGTAGGATACACAAAAACCACAGACAGACCCGCAGATAACCTGATCCACACCATCAAGAGCTTTAGAGATATCAACCAGCACCCTGAATTGTACTTGAAAATCTCTGGGAGACAATGGATCACACATAGCAAGAAAGCTACATGGGTGTACCAAGATGTACCCCAAACTGCATGTGCCACTACATTCTAAACAAGTTGTAGCATATCCCAATGTACTTCAAAGGCAGCCCCATTTAGGAGTATATTGTTATATTCAACTTTTCCAAATGCCCAGGCCTAATCGTTTTCTTTTGCAGTACTACAAAACATTCACTGCTATAAGCATTTTATTGACTAAGGGGGCAAACAGCAACAGCACACTTTTCTGTATTCACAAACTGTCTTAGTTTAATCATAGCATACTAAACAAAAACAAACAAACAAACAAACAGCTATATAATATATCATACTATGCCTTACTTCATGGCTTACAACCCAGTGACTGAGTTCCTACAATACATAAAGACAAAGCAACATACATTTTCAGTGCACTGTGTTAATTTAACAGTTAAGTATCATCAGTAAATTTATTCAGTGCATTTATTCCAATACCTGAATGTAATGACAAGAAAGCATGCTGAATATTTGTTATCTATTGCTAAATTTTGAAAGTATCAAAATATATCAGAGGGAAGGAAAGGTTACACCTATGGCAGGTGTAATCCTACGACCTATGTTTTTTAAACTTCCATATATCTTCTACATCAGTCTTTTGAAAAAAAATTATAAGGAATTATCATCTCCCAAATCTAGTTTTGACATAATTACCAAGTACACAATTCAAGTAAGTTAAAGATAGTACATTACTTTTCACTCATTTGGTATTATATGATCACTATAAGGGTAGAAGACTCTAGTATATATCTATTGTTATAACTCTAAATATAGAGCTATAATTATGAATTACTTCTTCACGGACCTGGCAAAGCTAGCGATATTTTTACAAAAGTTTCAGCCACAATAACTTTTCTAGCCTTAAATTACGATATCATAACGCTCGTTCTTGTAGGAACTGCCAAAATAACCCCCCTATTTTATTTGCCTGCTCTTCAATAGAAAATAATAGAAATAAATTTGTTACGAAACCTGGTTTTTAAGCTCATTAAAAATGTTTGGCATGTTAAAAATGCAATTCCATTATAAACAGATTTAACTTACAGGCAGACTCAACTGAGTTCTAACAAATACGGAAATATAATTGTAATGGTCCAAAAAACAACCCATTACCTGTTTAATCCTGTCTACCATACTTCGATTGATTTCTACCATATTCCCTCGCCTGCAATCGTTACCAGTGTGAGGGGTTGGACTTTTGTATCACTCTCTTCCCCAATGAGAAATTGAGAAACTGTAGAGGGTGGGATTTCAGGGACGCCAATTCAGAACCCCAGCCAATCAATGCCGTCCTCAACATCCATTCCTAAAGCACGCCAGCCAAGAATGGATACAGGAGAGCGGGAGGAGGTGGGGGGGGAAGCGCGCCAGTAGAAAGTGATAAGGAGATCAACCAATGATGGATCAGACTCGAGCCAATTAGGAATGAAAGGAGGTGGGCTACAACAGTCATCGAACGGGTGGAGGGAAACAAATAACCGTTGAGGGGAGAGTTTGCGCTTGACTGATGGCGAAGGTAGCCATTGAAGATGCGGCGGGAGGCAGGACTAGCCAATCGTATCGCGAGATGAAACGGGCTTGAAGGCCTACGTTTTTAACTAGTTTTGGAGCCCGAAGGTCTTAAGCAGATAAAAAGGAAAAAGAGGAAAAGGTGGCCGGTTCGATCCGCACTTGCTCACCTTTCTGCGCGACATCCTCAATGGAGGCAGCGGCGGCGGAGGCAGCGATGGTGGCTGCGCCCCGGCCGCCGCGTTGGCTACGGATGAATCCGTGGTGACTGGCGTGTCTCCGGTTCTCCAGCGCTAGTCGCGCCGTCTTATTTTCCCTTTGCTGTAAGATGTTGCTGTTCAGACGACTCCCTTCACTCTTCCGCCGGGACACACGACGGGGATACACACACCCCCACCCCCCACCCCGTCTTGCTTGTCACGTGATACAGGAACTCACCTCACACCAATGGCCTTCCGCCATCTTAGAATCGGGTCGAGCGTCTCTAGCCGGTGAAGTGTATTGGACATGTTTAATGTGGGCTACAGCCCTATCTCCGAATAGGGAAGGCAGCCATTTTTTGGTTGGGCAACTGATTGTCCGCAATTGGAATCGCTGGTACAGTGTGGCTACTGCCGTAAGGTGTTTCTCTTCGACGTCTTAATTCACCATCTTTGTTTTGGAACTTGGCGGGCTTTTGTAATCAAAAAGCGTTCTCTCAGAGAGCGTGAAAGAGTGTCGCAGTCTACTGGTTTATACCGAAAGACTGCGTTATTTTCTTCTAATAGGAAAAATCGTTCCGTTAGGGAAAAAATAATTATTTATAAACCAAAGTTGCCTGTTCACAGTACTGTAGGTCAGATCAATGAAGAACAACTTTTTTAAAAAACAAATTTTATTCAGTTTTTCACATTAAAAACAAACATCTCTTTTTAGTGGACAACATATTTCCGGGTCATCACCTTTACATACAAATATGACAGCAATTATACATTCATATATGCATACTTAATTCTATTATTACCTTTTCCATTCCAAATTTTCAGTAAGGAGAGAAACACATTAATTCTAGCCACCTTCATTTATCTCAAACGAAACATCTTTTTGTTTCATTTCAATTATTTCAAATATAATCCTTTAATATTTATTTTATAAATAAAGATAAACAATATGTGTTTGCCTAATAATAATAATAATAATAATAATAATAATAATAATAAAGGTTACCAATGTGTCTCCTTGCTTTTAATAGTCTACATTAACTTATAAATTTAGTTGGGTCTTTAGTCTGTCATATTCCCTTTCCATTACACATTCTTTCTGTAAATTCTAGATTAATACAAATTTTAACAGTAAAGAAAAAAAAATAAGTATAGGTTTCCCCCCTTTTACTGCTTTGAGTGATACCTCAATGATTAAAATATACTTATTCCCTCATCTTGATTCCCAATAAACCGTTATTTTAATGAAGTTACAATAATCATTACATCTTTTCATTCGGATTCCGCAGCATATTTTCCCTCCTTAATTTTTAATAAGAGTTATCTATATTACCCTATTTTCTAAATATTTTTAATTGCAGAAATATTCTTATGACCCCTTATCCCCCTGCAGAATTCCCTTTTTAATTCATCAACCATTATCTCTAAAAAAACATTTTCTTTTCAACATTTTACTATTTCCGTATTTCTTTATTTCATGCACCTGTTTCTTACTGCTTCTCCTCCCCTGCTTTTCCCCATATCTTTTCTCATTCCAATTTATATCCCTCTCTTTCTTAATATCTTCCTTTCCCCTTTTCTGCTGGATCTTTCTGTCTTTCCCAACTTCACAGGTATTCCCCCTTTTGATTGCCTTCTTAAATCTCAACTTTTTAACCTTCCTTCTTTCCACTCTTCTTTTGTAGTGTTCTTTGTGTTAATTGTCTATTTAAAATGTCTTCTCCTTGAGTCGACTCCTCCTCTGAAGCTCTTTCTTCTTGTTCTTCAATCACCATTTCCATTTTTCTCTAACAGAGCAAAGTGATTTGCCTCTTTCCTGTAGTAATTCTCTCATATTTTTAAGTTCCATTTTTAATTCTCGAAGAGATATCATCATTGCACACTCTTATATTTTATGATCGTTAAAGTCCACAAAAGAAAAAAACACTTTTACTTTCCTTCTTTCTTCTTTCAATTTTCTAAAGTTCTCAGTTATTCCAGCCCAGGGTCTATACCAAAAACATCAAACAATCCTACAGTCAGTCTTTCCTTGCTTTTTTCTTTATTCTGGTTCTGTTTTCACTTTCTAAGATTCTTACTTTGTTTCAATATTTCTTTAGTGTTATATCCACACAAGTTCATTCAGAAACAGGATGCTTTCCCTTTTGTTTGAGCTCAAATTTTTGTCAAAAGGTGGCACTCTCCATTATACAAAGTCTTCACCTTTTCCCCTATTTTTTATTTAGGGTTTTTCGAACCTCAATATTCCAGCACAGTCCAGTCTCCAATTTGTAAACTTTATTATTATTATTTTTTAACAATCTTAAGTCCAGCTTTATTTTATGCTTATTTATTGCCAAAATATTTTAGTCCAATTTAGTTAAATCTTTAGTTCCGTCTTCTTCCTTTCCCAGTTCGAAGCCCTGCTTAGCTGTCAAAAATATTTTTTTTTTTTTCCTGTCCCTTTGTAATTTCACCGCTCACTTTTCTTAAAATTCCATGTTACCTTAATCCTGGGGTACTTTTGTTTAGTTGTATTGCCCAGTTATCCCGGTTCAAATGTCCACCTCTTTTTTCCCTCCTGTACAAATCTTAATGCATCTGAGTCCTCTTCGGGGTGGCCATTTTAAACCACTGCTGCAGTCATCTTCGGGGGAAAAAAACCAAGACCAGGGGGGGAGATGCGGCTCCCCTCAACCTGGCTTGCAGCTTCCCCTTACTCCGCCGCTCCTCCAAGGCAGCTTCAGCCCCTAATCGTAATGATCGGGGCCCTCCAATGAAAGAGCACGGACCATAGCCGCAGAGACTCGCGATCTACGGTCCGTCAGCGAAGAGGCTCCGCTTTCTTTTCAAGAACAGCTTATTTTTGACTAAAGATAGTCTTGACTATATGAATAACATTACTTTTTTTAAAAAACCGATAAATATTTAAAGAATTGCCAGTGGCTTTTTGCTTCTCTAAAAAAAAAAAACCATTATTTTTTAGCTTGCTTTTAAGAGATCCATCATTTGTTATGGTAAATTCTGGAATATATCATTTTATGTTCCCTTACTGATTAAAAGCAATGAATAAAAATAACCTACTTCTTTTTGTTCTTTTTGAAGGTTAATAAATGTATGGTATCTTCAAAGTATTGTATAACATCATCTATACATTTGGTACTTATTAAGCCAATTTAACAAAAAAAAACTTACTATGTTCAGTGGTATTTATTCCCAGATAAATCACACATGCTGTACAGACCTAGAAGACTCAGTAATACTTTTAGTATATTTTTTAAACTAGAACTCATGGATGCTAACCCCAAGTGAATTTGGGACTTGCACTCATTCATACCAACACTATTAATTATAGAATAGTGGCTTTTCTATTTACATAATCAGGAAAAATATATATCTTAAAATCAGGTTGCAGTTCTGCTTTTAGATCGGCAGCCTCACAGGATCTCACCTGAGGTTTTTTCCCCCAAGGGTTTTATTTTACTGTTCCTAGTATTTCATAATATTCTTGCATCATTCCTCCTTAGCTGAAAAAAAAAACTTTTGGCAACATTTCTATCCTATTGTTTTAGATTCAAAGAACCCAAATAATCTAGCTTTAAATATATAAGACAAAAAATCGGGCTATGCTAATGAACACCATTTATGCCACTTGTTTACATTGCATCTAATTCAAAGTTACTCATTTAACAACAGATCTAAACATATCTTTCCTTGGACCTACAAATATTTCTCAGATTTAAAAAAGATACAGCCAAAAAACATATCAGAATGACAGAAATGACAATATTGGATTGTTAAAAACATTTTTTAAATGAATCCATTGCCACAGTAGCTTTTATTTTTTATTAAGAAGCATAATGGAAGTTTTTGCAATTTCTTACCATATGGGATATTCCCCACACACCTACAGTGAAAATTAAACTAACTTGAGATATTTCATAAATCCAATATATATGCTCTATTGTAAGCACACATTTCAGAATGGACAGTAACCAGGAACATTTAAACCTAACCTTGAAATGTATGTTTTACTTGCACATCAAGTTTAAGAGTTGGTTCATCTAATTTAATGGAAGACCAAATTAGTATTGGTTCATCTAATTTCATGGAAGACTTTTTAATTTTAAAGTAAGGATATCACTATTGTTGACTACTATTGAATGTCACATTCATTACTAGTGTTTTAAGAAGTCTTACTTGAGGTACACTTTTTTCACTTAATGGTGTTTGATCAAAAATTAAGTCTCAAATCTTATTTAATCTAATTCAGCTGGGTAAGATTCTCAACACTGATACCAGTGATGTAATTGCTTCTTGTTCAATCATAATTTTAATTTCTTTCACTGAACCTTAGAGATAGATGAAAAAGTGTGCTGTATAAAAAACATTGTTAGCACTTGAGGCAACCTCAAAATGTGGTGGACTTCAGTTTTTAATCTTGAGACTACACAGGTAATCCTCAATTTATAACAGTTCATTTATTGACTATTGAAGTTACAATATCATTGAAAAAACTGGCTTATGATCATTTTTCACACAATCATTGTAGCATTGCCATAGACATGTGATCAGAATTCAGACACTCAGCAGCTGACTCATATTCATGACGGTTGCAGTGTCCCAGGGCCATGTGATCACCTTTTGTAACCTGACAAGTAAACCAGATTCACTTAACAATTTTGTTACTAACAACTTCACTTAGCAATGGTGCAAGAAAAATTGTAAAATGGGGCAAAACCAGAGGTGGGATTCTACCAGTTCGCACCTATTCGCTAGAACCGGTTGTTAACATTCTAAGCAGTTTGGAGAACCAGTTGTTAGAAGAAATTACTGGCCTAAACCTATATGAAAGGCAGGAAGGAAACATTCTGGTGTTGCTTACAGAAACTGCCTCTCCGTTAACTCTTATTACATTCTTGGCAGGACTAGACTTCCTGTCTCAGGAACTTCTCTGGAGATTTTTTCCCCTCCTTTGCTGGTACTTTGCTTGTGTGGAATGGCCATTTAAAGTTACAATGGCACTGAAAAAAGTGACTTATGACCATTTTTCACACTTATGACTGTTGCAGCATCCCCACAGTCATGAGAGGCCAGGCGAGGAGATGCATGCCTCGATGTGTATGATATTGAGTTGGCCACACCCAGCCAATAACATGACCACCAAGTCACTCCCACCACCTAAGCCACTCCCACAGAATCGGTTGTTAAAAATTTT